GGCCTCAATGAAGGAAAAAATAATAATAAAAATAAAAAATAAATAAAAAAAAACCCTGCAAATTGCTAATTGTCCTCAATTTCCATTCTTAATGCCTGTAGTCAGGAGTATGTGTCCTTCCAGCAGATCATGCTTTAGCCAAACACAAATGACAGGCTTAGTGCTGAGTAAAATACTGTGATCAGTTGAAGACCGTGAATCTATCGTACTTAATGGAAGAAAAGGATCTGTACAGTTTGGCCCTCTCTATAAAATGGGAGTGTTCTGTTCTCATACTTAATATATATATATATATATATATATATAGGTAAAAAACAACCGAAAAAACAACTGCTGAACGTAAACTACCGATTATATTTTTGGGATGTTTGTTTCCTTGTAGTAGTAGAGTATGCTATATATTATTAATAAAACCCAGTTCTGATAGCTTTTAGCTCTCACATAGCAAATTACACAGAGCTGAGAACTAGTGCTTTTTGGCAGCACAACTTGAAATGTTTTTCCCCAAAAGATTGTTTTAATCCATAGGCCTTGTTTTGATTTCTGAAGTGGCAAAGAAAATGAATTACCTGGAATTTCAGATGCATGTTTGCTCAAGATCAAAATGATGATGAGTTACAATTGCCCTTAAAGGTACTCAAGTCTTTTCTTACTAAAGAGAGGAAGAAAGTCCAACAGCATCATTAAGTACATTACTATTATGCAGTATCTTTTCATGTGGTACTGCAATATGTCATTTGATTGTGTAAACCTCTCTGAAATAAGAGGAATTGTTGCATCACTAATTCCAGCTAAACACAGTATTCTCTTTATGGCGTGTATTAGCACTCTACAGAAATGGTAAGAATAAAGTGTTTACCAGAGCACCTGTATGATTGTGCTTGCTTTTGAGTAGCTTTGGAAATACTGAAGCTTTTTTGTGGGCTAATTTTACTATTCACAGACTTTAAAAAAAAAAAAAAAAAAAAAAAAAAAAAAAAAAAAGGAAAGAAAAAAGAGCAGCATATCACTAGCTTTATAAAATGAATATGGAGAAGTTGACAATGAATGAAACCAGTATGGAAAAAGAGTTTTCAGCTGTTGAAATAGGTTGTAATATGTACTTTTGTAGTGGTAGGAAAAAAAAAGCTGACTGACTCTCCTGTCGTCCTGGCTATTCTGTAGATGATTGAGTGAGTGCAGCTCCTGTTTCTCTGGAGAAACAGGATAAAGACTGAAAAAATAATCCACAATAACTGTTTAACTGCTTGGATCTGCTCAAAGGCCGAATTTTACACAGGAGAAAGAACAGAAACTAAACTATGCATATACAATCCAAGCGTTTGACGTGTATTATGGCCCAATACGTGACAGCTTCGTTCTATGTCTGTGTGTGCTTAGTATTTCTGGCTGGCGGGCTGTAGGCTTTTCAGAGCATCCAAACAATTTCAAACACTAGGCACAGAAAATTCAGGCCAACCAAGTCTGAAACATAACATTGAAATAAATAAATAAAAGCAACAAGTGCTGTTCCCAGGGAAATAAGCCAAGATGGGATGATAGTCTTGGGTGGAATGGCGGTGCCCTTGAAATCTGTTACAGAATTTTTTCAGTTTTTGACCAAAAAAGGAAACTGCACTGAGTTGTCTTCCTGACTCTCACATAGCCATGATATGTAACTTTGGCAACCGTACTTGGCCTGAAGTGTACACTGCACCTGGATTTTGCCAGAGCACCTGTTTTATGCTGATTTCAGTGGGGATAAAAATTTGTTTCAGGAGGGTTCATATGGCTGAGCGTATTGATGTCTATTAAGCTTCTAGGATAGCTCATTCAATATTTCTAGGGTGTTTTTATTCAGGACAGGCCTTTATTTTACAACGTGATGTACAGACACTTCAAGAGTGACTCAAGGAGTGGCGTTCAAATCTGTGTTGTCTTGGGAGTGCTAGAAGAAAATTCTGGCAACCTGCTCTGGCGAGTGTGACAGCTGGAACACCAAAGTAGTTATTTCCTCTGCTGAGGATGTGAAGTTTGTGAGCTATTGACTATTAAATGTGAGTAATACTTTACGTACAGGGACCAGTGATAAACCACTTTTCCAATGCCTTCTTGCTGTTCTCCTTTTCTCCCTCCATGTTGGAGGCTCCTTGCTTACCCACAGGTATGGTGCCTGGCTGGCACATGATTTTGACATAGAATCCCCTTAAGAAGCCTCACAACTGTAAAGCTCAGAGTGAAATGGAAGGACAAGCTACATTTTTCTGATTTCCCATAGCTTAACATTTGTTAGATGAAAATACATTTAAAGACCCCAGAGAATATCTGGGCACAGTAAGTGGCAATTGGGTACAATAAGTTTACCTTCTTATTACATACTCTCACTGGATACTAATGTAATTCTCTTCAATGCATATATACATATATATATTTGTTACTTAAATATATATTGGGAGGGATAAGAGGTATATGATTGCACCTCCTGGAAGCTTTGTGACTCTGCATGCTAATAAAATGAATAGTTGCAGTCCAGAGCTGTAGTTAAAGGCATCATAATATACCATATAGTTTTGTAGATTGAATTTCACATTAAGAACTTACAGAAGTCTGACTCTGGGAAAGGGGGAGAAAGTGACAGAGTGCAGTAGTTAAAATTACATGCAGTACTTTCTTTAGTACCCACAATTAATTGTAGGTAAAAACAGTCCCATTAGATGCACACGCAATTCAGGTACTTGAAGATGTGCTGTAATATAGACTATTAACTGTTTTTAATTTTTCCCCCATGTACCAAAGCCAAATCCATTCCTGGTGTCTGTAATCTCTCCTAGACTGTATAGCTGTATGTGTTCTTGCTTAGTGTAGTAAAGTGCAATGTCTTTTTTTCCCAAGTCTGAGGCAGTACATTTTGCTGTTGTTCCAAATTATATTTCTAAGGTTCTTGTAGAGTTTTTATCTTCAAATAGTGTAATACAATTTTTATATGTGTAGTTGAATAATTCTGTATGACATTCAGTGATGTTTAAGCTGAGTTGATGTCAGAACATTGTTGTCATAAAGGGTCTTTGGTCTCAACTCTGTCCTTTTTTGGCATTTAAGTTCTAAAAACACATGTCTTTGGCAATGACTCAGAGTTCAAGAATGCTAACTTCTATTGTGTTTAGCACTAAGATTTTCCTGCCACTAGTACTATTTGGTTAATAGTTCTGCATAAAGTAAAAATGCACAAATGCACCGTATACACTGTTCATAAAATAGAAAATGATAGAATTATGCCTTGCATCATCAAGAAAAAATGAATAAATAACAGAAAAATGTCAATAAAAAGCCACTAAGTCTGCAAGCCCAGTAATATATCTTGTAAAAACATGCAGAGCAAATTTATAAAAGTGCTCAGAAATTCCCACTGTACTGCAAGCGTAACTGTTACAGCAGGAATTAACAATGATCAGCTAAAACCTATTGTGGCAAATTTGGGCCCAGATTTGGCCCAGTCTGCAGGAATACAGCAGTTACTTTGGAGTCCATTTGTATAAAAACAGAGGTGGTGTGTGCTTTTATTCAGTCCCACAACAAACCCTTGTGTTTAAATGTGAACCCTGAAGCTCTGAAATTATGTAGGCATGTGCACATTCAAGAAGTCTTGCTGATCACAGCAACTGATGCTATGTAGAAATCATACACCTGAAGTTATGCACATTTTGCAGCATCCAGCTGTACCAGTGTTACTTTTATACTCTGGCTGCAGATTTCTGTATTCATAATGCTAAACTGTGACATCTCTTTAGGGTGTCTAACTGACTATATTGTGATTTGCTACAAGATGATTGAGGAGGGAAAGTAATGGGATTTTTATTATACTTATGATATGACTCTCATAAAAGTATCAGTTTTAGTATTCTTTTGAACAGGATTCAAACTTTATTAAAAAAAAAAATACACACTTTTAAATACCTTTTAATACTTCTTGGCACAAGTAATGATTGGATGGATTTGGACAGTGGGGCTCTGAAGGTATCATTTCAACACCAAACAATACCATTGCTAGGCCAGATTTTTATTTACTATGGAGGTTTCCTGATTCTAGCATAGAAAAGACAAGAATCCTCAATTAGTGTAAATGTACTTTAATTTGAAGAAGTGGCTTTATTGCCATAGTCAATGGAATGAGAGCTGGCACTGTCAAGCCTGCTGTACAGGGAGAGCTGTAGCAGTAGGGGTTTGTTTTACACTTATAATAGGAACTAGCATATGAGCATCTTAACACTTCTCTCTCCAGGAGAATTAACATAATCACTTTAAAATATAAATGTTGTACATACAGATAGACCACAAGAAAAAACAAGAGTGAATTTAATGTAGCATTTTGCCATACCTGTGTATTTTGAGACCAAGAATAATTGTACTACCCATTTTTGGAAATGTGAGAAGCCACAATACGGAATAATTATTTAAAATTTGCAACAAGCATTGGTTCTTTATAGAATGAGATGCTAAAATGAGGGTTTACGAAAGCAAAAGGCTTCTCAGTTAAGATGCCAGATGTTTCAAAACTACCATAGTATTTATTTCACTGTCTACTTCCAGACCATAATTTACTTAGTGATAGTTTGGTTGCCATTAGATTTTTAAAATAAATAAATAAAAATATAATGGCAGACTTTAAAAGGAGACCTTAATGTATTCAACTAAATCTATTTTTATAGCATTTATGTCACACCTTTATATAAAGGTCACAGATGGAGGAAAAGGAAAATGTGCTACCTCCTGAGTCAAGTGCAGCAGTTCTTGAAACTAGCAAATTGTTCTGTTACCTGAATCTTGTATCCATTTGGGATTAAACATTTTATTTTTATTTTTTCTGCAAAGCATTCAAATGTATCTTCTGTCTGGCAGAATGAATCCATCAATATACCAGGGCTATTGTTCTACCCCTGAAAGCAGTTTTCCTCCATGGATAAGCTTATTTTAAAGTGCCAGTTCATCTGAAAAGCCATGCACCTGTTTTTTTTTGTTTGGGCATGAAGGAGTGGGGGAAGGTCAGGGAAGAGGGGTGTTCACGTGTGAATGTTTTCCCCCTACAGAAGGGCATAGGCAAATTAAATTGATTTTTTATTATTATTATTTCCAATAAAGGGTGGAGGCTAGAGGGAGGAGGGAAATGTCTGAGAGTTCGGGGGGGATGGAGGGGTGGTAAATAAGACATCACTAAGATGTGTATATTTCATGTGCAGAGTATATAATAACACAGGAAGAAAAGAATTGGACCAGAACTGAAATTGTATATTAAACTTGTCCCAACTCTTTGTTACTGTGCCCTTTTCTGTTACATTACTGGTAACTGGAAACAGCTTGTTTGAACTCAGAGCTCATGGCATGGTTTCTCCCAGTGTCGTTGTAATCTGCTGCACCCCTGGTGGTACCAAGAAGTTACTCTTAAAATTAGCTCAACTTCCACCTGCAAAGAAAAGAAAGGCATAGCTTCCTTTATTCTGTGGTGGAAAAAAGGTGGCTTAGACACAGCTTACACAATACCTGCCAGAAACAACAGAAAAAGCCCTTAATAATAATTCCAGATATTTAGGTGATCTCCTGCAATATATTACTTTAATTCACTTCTCTCTCTTTTGGACTGCAAATTGTGTAATAAAAGTTGTCCTTTAGCCCATTACCAGAAGTTAAGGAGAAAAAAAATACATAGTTTTGTTAAAGGTGAAGCCATTAGGTCAGTCTTTTCCAGTTACTTTCGCTGCAGTTCTGTTGAGAGGGGACTAAAATAATCTTTAAGGAAAGATACCTCAATCTTATCTGAGTAATGCTTTTTTGGCCATATCATCTATGACACAGACCTTCATAGTAAAATGCTGCTGCCCATTAAATAACCTGAAGTTACTGCTATCAGTTTCCTACAAAAATGGACTGTTTCTGTAACTTACTTTTTGTGTGTGCGTTTGTGACCACTTTGTTCAAGTCTTGTAAGATAACTTCAGATTTTGTTGTGATTTTTAGTTTAGTTTGTGGTTGTGTTGTTTTTTGTTTTTTTTTTTGAAAAACACTCTTGGAGAAAGTTGATATGTAGTTTACAAACAAAACTGTTTAAAATTGATCGCTTCAGCAATGTTGTGCCACAAAAGTCTTTTGAAAGATGTTTTTTTTAAATGACACTAGCTGTTCTACAGAAGCCTTTGAAGGTCTTGAAATAGTATTGTGTTTTTATTAACTACAATTTTGCTCCCTGTGCTCTATCTTAAAACTGTGTTTTCTTTGAATGTTTTTAAATGTGAAGTCACTCTCCTTTCAAGCTAAATCAACAATTGCTGTGTTCCATTATTCAGTCTACAGAACTAATTCTGACAGTAAGGAGGGAAACAACAAAACAGGAAGGGGTGGGGGTGGAGAATACAAACCAAACTTAAATCTGAACAGGAGGTACTAGTAGGGCCTGGAATTGAAAGTTATTGCTCCACCTTTGATTCTACTGAAGACACTGTGGTAAAGTAAGCTGTAGAAGATGTTTTTATGTAATGTTTGTCTGGTACCAACTCTGTCATTTACAAAAATAAATCAGTATACATCTCTGATACACAAAGGTTTTTCAGTATGTAAATAGTTATTGTAGATTACAATTACAATCCTTTTGTAATTTAAGGATTAAGCCCTTCAGAGACCATTCAGTTTAAATACCTAAAACCAGCTTTTTATTAAAGTAAATGAAAAGTTTTCTTTAAAACCGTTCAGGGGGAGGGATGAATATTCCTGGGTTTTAGTGAAGTCCTTTGATTTTAAGTTTTATTTTTAATCATACTTACAAGTGGCTGAAACCGCATCTGTTCTCAACTCTCCAGGCAATGTCCATGCAATGTCCTGCTGCCCTTGCATTTTGGTGTAGTTGCGAGGAGCATCCAGGAGGTGGCATTGACTTGGGCTCAGTGCAAGGCTCGGGGATCATGGCTTGCAGGTAGACCTCTGCAATTGTAGAAGGGGTTGAGTTATGCACCAGGTGTATTAAATGTAAGCTAAATTCTTCTGAAGCTTTTAGAAAAATTCTTTGCCCATTTCTCCAAGAACTAGAAATGCCAATGACAACATCAAAATATTAATAAGGTTTTCTTGTCTTTTGTTAGTGAGATTATCGTAGAATTATGCTTCTAATCATAATTTATGGGTGGTCCAAAATGCTTCAGTACTTGTGGTAGAAGTGCAAGTTTTGCCATTTATTGACTTCATAAAGAGAGTCCATAAAAGATTAAGGTCAACTTTCTCAAAGGCTCTGTTGATTTCTAGAGGTGCCGTAGATAGGTCTGACTTCTTTAGAGGTCCTTGTGTACAACTTGACCAAAATCTGGGCTAAAAGATATTGAGAAGCAGAGGTTTGGATAGCTCTTGATATTCTCTTCGAAGGGGTTAGGAGTGCTTTGTCAGAAAGATGAACTTAATGTCAAGTGGCTACTCTTTTGGTTGGTTCAGATGCATAAAAGGTGGAATTAAACACTGAGTGGTTATTTTTTTAGAAGAGCTTTTAAGGCAAGACTTGAATTCACATGTGACTTAGAAACCTTGGTCTAGGCTTATAACAAATAGCTACAGCTGTGGGAAGCTATTTGCAAAAGTCTTTAATTATTGGAAAGTATTTACATGGTTGAACTGCATATTCAACATTTGAAACATCAAGGCATGTTTAAAAAAATCTTTAAAAAGTCTAGGATTATTTTTCTAAGCTGTTGTAAGACTTCCATGAAACCTGAGTAACAATAACTTAAAACATTTTACCTTCTTCCTAGCTATGAGGATTTACAAATAGAAAACGCTATTAAGTGCTTTTAATTATGTGGAAATTGTATTTCTATCACAAGCTTCCTAATACAATATATGATATTCAGTATGGTTGCTAGTAGTGAAAATGGATAGATTCCAGAGCTAATTAACATGCTGTTATTTTGCTTTTGTAAATAACTGCTGGCCTTTAAGGATCTGTGCATGGATGCAGCAAAAATGCATGCAATATTTTATCATGGAATCACAGAATGGTTTGGGTTGGAAGGGACCTTAGATATCATCTAATTCCACCCCCCCCTCCCATGGGCAGGGACACCTCCCACTAGAACAGGTTGCCCAAAGTCCCATCCAGCCTGGCCTTTGAAAATTTCTAGGGATGTTCATCCATGTGGATGTGCATCCACAGCTTCTGTGGGCAACCTGTTCCAGTGCCTCACCACACTCGGAATGAAGAATTTATTCTATATACCTATCCTAAAACTACCCTCTTTTTGTTTAAAGCCATCACCCCTTGTCCTATCACCGCACCCCCTGGCAATGAGTTCCTCTCCCGCTTTCCTGCAGCCCCCTTTAGGTACTGGCAGGCCAGTATGAGGTCTCCTCAGAGCCTTCTTTTCTCCAGGTTGAACAACCCCAACTCCCTCAGCCTGTCTTCATAGGAGGGGTGCTTCAGCCTCTGATCATCCTTGTGCCCCTAATTCTGTTTCATTTCTAAATAGCTGAAGTCAGTATTAGGACAGTATCAGTGGCATCAAATTATTACACCAAAATAATTTTGTTGTTTTCATGGGAGAAGGAGGAGGATCTAAGGTCTTACCACAATAAAGTCAACCCAAAGGTAAGCCAACATATGAATATTATAAAATACATAATTAAGGGCAATATTACTGTACCTGTATCAAGCAAACAGTTCTTAATTGGCAGATGTCAATGATTGCTATTACATTTTCAATATGTATGCTTCTATGTAGTTACATAACTGATAGTGATACAGTTTAAGCCACGACAGTAGACCTGAACCACTTCATCAGCACATTATTTGCATGCTAACTTCAGTCACTAATTCTGGATTTGTAGTATCTGTTTTCTCTTGGTCATTGGGGAATTGAGGATTCACAGTGCAAGGAAAGGAATCAAAACTAGGACAGAAGTTTGATAGTTCTGGAAAACTGGGGTTCATACGTTTGGCTTTAGGTATTCTTTTCATATGCTGAAAATGATTGGGCATAAATTTAATTGAGTTTTCACATGCCATCCAATAATACTTTGCTCCCCTAGGGTTCTGCTGCAACCCAGTCTCATCTATTTTCACCAGCTTCCTTTCTCAAATGCCAGAAGACCAACTTAATGCTAACAAAGTGTCTAGCCTGGCAGATAAACCCTCGAGGAGGCAGAAAGAATTATCTATATTAGAGTGGCATTTCAGAACTAATCCCACACTCCAAAAAGTGGCATATTTGGGTTTAGAGATCTGCATTAAATAAGCAGGAGGCAAATTTGCAACAGAAGACTTATGCCGTCCTCCCTGAAGGAGTCTGTTATTTGAGAAGCCTTGCCCAGTAATGTGATGTGGGTCTGTGGTTGAGCTGGAGTACTTCTGAGTCCATTGGGGAACAGATAGCATCATCTTGTTTTTCTTTTTATTAGTTCTGCCTTTGAGTTTGTAATACAAAAAAAAATGAAATGATGAAAGTCTTCTAATGCTGTAGTATTTGGGAATTTAGATATAAAGGAATTTTCTGCTTTTTGGGGGAACAGCAGGGATAAAGAGGGAGAGTCACCTATCTGATAAGGACGATGATTTAACTGAGATTCAGTACACTATAGCTAGGAAGAATCATCTAATATTATCCTTTCAAATATGATTCTTTGAGCTGAGTCCCATGTTTTCCATTAAAATGTATGATGAACTATCACATCTCTTGTGATTGATATTGACTAACTATAGCACCTCCAAGAACACACACAGCTCTCTAACATGTTTTCTGGCTCTGTGACAAATTCTCAAATGGGTGCAAATTTCAATTTAAGTCCAAACTGGGTTCCAGCTAGCCTAATCTTGGAAAAGAAAGGCTGCATGGTAGCACAACTAGTCTTGGCTTCAGTTTATTCTTGAATTATACTGCAGCCAACAGTATGTGAACAACAAACATTTGGTCCTCCCATAACCCTATTTTGTATTAGGGAACCTGCTAGCTTCTAGTCACTTATCCATCCAAAGTCCTTAGCTACCCCACCATAAAGTTACGTAAAACAGAACATAATATCAGTCTTCAAACAATATAATTGTAATACTGATATTTGGCATTAATATTTATATCATACTTTGATATGAAATTCTCTTCCTCCCTATAAATTCATGAGAACGAATTGGTGAATTATGGCAGTTCTTCGCCAAATTTGAGGAAGCTGATATTCAACAAGCAACGTGGTGCATATAGAAGGAAAATCCTGAGTACCAATGGAGGGCAGAGCAGGATTATTTAAAGTTATAACCCAGTTTTTAATTCTTAATTATATATGGGAAGAACTTGCTTCCTTTTAAGTCTTTGTTTTCATATGCTCCTGATGCCTCTCATTGCCACAATTTACTATAGAGAGAAATGTAAAGGCACTGTCAAAAGGGCTATTCTTACAGATGTTCTGTCCTAAAGAGAACTAGAGAATTGGAGAATTCTGTGGGAGTAAATTTAATCTTAGACATTTCCTGAGTAATTTTGCAGACACAAGAAGGGTGGCTGGTTCAGATTAAAGCCAGGATAAGAAGTTAAATAAAGGCTGTCGTTTCATATGAAATCTTTGGAGTCAATACTAGCCTAAACAGTTTTTAGCTGTTTTGTGCTGTCTGTCTGTTTATGCCCCTGCAGTTTGCCCCCGCAGCTTTACCAGTACCAGCATATGCGAATTGAATTTGAAAACTGATCTAGATTTTTGACAATTTTCTTATAACTGAAAGCTGGAAAAGGTTAATAAAAGGATGACAGAAAATTTAAACCATTTTTGCTACCATGTCATATTTTCAAATCACAGTGTTGGAAATAGTTTTGTTTACCTATGAACAGTTAACCACTTATATTTTTCACATTCAAGGAGTAGTTCTGCAACAGAAAGTAAGAATAATAGCTCCTCCTATTATTGAATTCTGATTCCATGTCTTCTCTCCCAAGTGGAAGTTTGGTCTTCTGCTGGCTGATCCTGGCTTGATGCCATAAGTCATGGGGTCTGAGGAATACACAGGTTGGGATCTTCAGATTGCAATATGTGATATATAAAAGCCCCATTCTAGGAACTAAATCCAATTCCAGTTTACCAGCCTAGGCGAATGTAGTGGGATCATCAGAAATAGGCTGTGTTGAGAGCATTGAATAGAAAATAAACTAAATAAACCTTCCCGTATGGCTCATTGAGAACACCAGGATCTTGTGTTTGAATGTTCGAGTCCTCATCTGGATTCACTCAGTAGAATGTGGATTTATACAAGGCACTGCTTATTTCCTACCATTTTTGAGAATCTTTCATACAGTGAGAAGTTCATAGGGAGTTTTAAATGTGATCCGATTAATAGGGACCACCCTATGCCTTGCTTGTTTGACATGTGGACGTATCTGTTATTTAGTCCTGATGAGACAGATCTCAGCAAGAACTTACAACTGTTAATGGTTATTTCTAAACTCTTGTTTATTAGCATGGCCAACTGAGACAAGAAAAGTTGGGGGGCTCCTTTTGTGCCTGGTAGTATTTTAGTGATGTAATAAAATGTAAAGGCAAAATGATTGCATTAGGGATATGACGCAAACATGTGAAAATCCAGATTTCTGGAAAACCTATCCTGGCTGGAGGCTGCCTGCTGTTTTGGATGATTACCACTTTCCCTGTGATAATAAAGGGCAGGGGGAAAGGGTTCAAGCAGGTAACAGCTTCTTAATTTGCTTTCTTAGCCTCACATCACCTACATGTGGAAGAAGAAAAATCAGGTTAGCACCCAAATTTAAACATAATAGAGATGTGTTCTCATGATGTCAGTATTAAAAATATGTGTAAAGCAGCCTGTATATTCTGGAAAGGAAGCTAACTGTTAAAGCCAAGAAACATAGTCTGGCACAAATCTTATTGCAAGTCCAAAAACACTTGATGATGTACAGATAGGTGTAGCATAACAGCAGGAAGAAAAAGGGAAAGGGGGTTGG